GAGGGGGCAGGTGGTGGAGCTGATGAAGCCTCACAAACCTGACAGAGAGGTAATGAGCTGTTCCCACCGCTGCAGCCAGCGCCCGAGGCCCGAGGCCCGAGGCCCGAGGCCCGAGGCCCGAGGCCCGAGGCCCGAGGCCCGAGGCCCGAGGCCCGAGGCCCGAGGCCGAGGCCCGAGTTTCTCTGTTTTACTGTATAATTATGACGGAAAGCCAAAGTTCAATGCATCAAACTATTTCCAGAGTCTTTATTTTTGGGCGACCAGATTGGTTAGTTAGGGTTGGTTAGGGTTGGTTAGGGTTAGGGTTAGTTAGGGTTGGTTAGGGTTAGGGTTAGTTAGGGTTGGTTAGGGTTAGTTAGGGTTAGGGTTAGTTAGGGTTGGTTAGGGTTGGTTCTTCAGGGTCAGGGGACACAGGACTCAAATCCCTGACCCGGGTAAAAAGGGACGTCTGGTCATCCTGCCTGTCAGAGACCCTGTCAGAGACCCTGTCCCTGCACCTGCTGTTTCTGATGGAGCTGTGTGGTTTTCAGGACGAGAAGAAGAGGATCGAAGCTCTGGGAGGCTGCGTGATCTGGTTTGGCACATGGAGAGTGAACGGCAGCCTGTCTGTGTCCAGAGCCATCGGTGAGTGTGACCCTCACCCCTCACCCTGACCCTAACCCTCACCCTGACCCTGACCCTCACCCTGACCCTAACCCTGACCCTGACCTCCGGCGTGTTTGCTCCACAGGGGACTCTGAGCACAAACCGTACATCTGTGGAGACGCCGACCACAGCCTGTTCCCTCTGGACGGCTCGGAGGATTACCTGATCTTGGCGTGCGATGGATTCTGGGACACGGTGGGTCCGGAGGAGGCGGTGCGGGTGGTGAGCGACCACCTGAGCGAGAACACGGGAGACACCACCATGGTGGCGCACAAGCTGGTGGCGTCCGCCCGCGACGCCGGTTCCAGCGACAACATCACCGTGATGGTGGTGTTCCTGAGGGACCCGCGCTGCCCCGCCCCCGCCGGCTTCGAGGAGGAGGAGGAGCCTATGACGGAGCGGGCGGAGCCGGCGGAGGAAGCGGGGGCGGGCGAGGAGGAAGAGGAGGAGGAAGAGGAGGAAGAAGAGGGGGCGAGGGTGGAGCGTGCGGGTGAGGGGGGCACTAACGCGGACCAGGGGGTGAAGTCTCGCGGCTGGCCCCTGCAGCAGTGCTCCGCCCCCGCCGACCTGGCGTACGAAGACCGCACAGACTCTTTCACGGACAGGACCACCCTGAGCCTGGGGCCTCCGCTCGGCCACACCTTCCTGCCCAGGGTCCCGGGCAGAAAAGCAGAGGGGCCCCTGCGGCGCCGCCCCCTGCTCTGGTCTCAGGAGCCGGGCTCCACGGACCCCCTGTCCCGCTCTTTTCCGTATCTGCACACGGCACCACTGTGCCCTGGGCCCGGCTCCACCCTCAGGCAAGGCTCCGCCCTCAGGCCCACCCACCAGCGCCGCCGCCTCCGCAGGGCCCTGCAGGGGTCCGCCCGTCACACCGCACCCCACATCCTGCCTCCCGCCCTGAGGCACAGGCACGAAGCGGCGCGCCCTCACCTGCCTCTGGAGGCCTCCATCTGAAGCCGTGCCCGCGTGCCCGCGTGCCCACCGGCCCGCGTGCCCACGTGTCCGTGTGACCGCGTGCCCACGTGTCCGTGTGACCGCGTGCCCACAGGCCCACGAGCCCACGTGCCCACGAGCCCGCGTGCCCACGTGTCGCCCGCTTCAGCTCCACCTCTCACATGTTTAGTGGCTCCTCCGTGACGTGTCTCTGGACTCACAGCACCACAGGGCACTCAGCAATAACGCTGCAAACTCAAACTCTTTGTTCTGATTTGACCCTAGTTCAGTGTAAATGTTTAGTTTGAGTCAAAGGTCAAAGGTCAGACTTCTGTATTTCCATGGTAACGAGTTCATGACCCTCGCGCTTTACAGTCTGTGGCTCACCACACGTCTGCCCACCTTTAGTCTTATCAAGGGATCATCATACTTAAAGTGTAGGTTAAACAGGGTCTGTAGATCCTTCTTCACTCTTCTTCACGTCTGTCGCTGAAGCGTCTGTAGATCGTTCTTCACTCTTCTTCATGTCTGTCGCTGAAGCGTCTGTAGATCGTTCTTCACTCTTCTTCACGTCTGTCGCTGAAGCGTCTGTAGATCGTTCTTCACTCTTCTTCACGTCTGTCGCTGAAGCGTCTGTAGATCGTTCTTCACTCTTCTTCACGTCTGTCGCTGAAGCGTCTGTAGATCGTTCTTCACTCTTCTTCACGTCTGTCGCTGAAGCGTCTGTAGATCGTTCTTCACTCTTCTTCACGTCTGTCGCTGAAGCGTCTGTAGATCGTTCTTCACTCTTCTTCACGTCTGTCGCTGAAGCGTCTGTAGATCGTTCTTCACTCTTCTTCACGTCTGTCGCTGAAGCGTCTGTAGATCGTTCTTCACTCTTCTTCACGTCTGTCGCTGAAGCGTCTGTAGATCGTTCTTCACTCTTCTTCACGTCTGTCGCTGAAGCGTCTGTAGATCGTTCTTCACTCTTCTTCATGTCTGTCGCTGAAGCGTCTGTAGATCGTTCTTCACTCTTCTTCACGTCTGTCGCTGAAGCGTCTGTAGATCGTTCTTCACTCTTCTTCACGTCTGTCGCTGAAGCGTCTGTAGATCGTTCTTCACTCTTCTTCATGTCTGTCGCTGAAGCGTCTGCGCTGACCACGATGAGAGATTCTTGTTTCACTTATTTCTGATTCTAGTTCTTAAAGCCATATTTGTCCTGCCAGGAGGAGGCGTCCTCTGTGGCGTTTGCTGCGTCGGTTTGATTCAGGGACGTCCATCTCTGTATTAAAGGTTCTTTCTTGTGTTTCTCAAGTGCAGCGCCCCCATTCTGCTCCGACCTGTAAGTGCAGACATGTGCCTTTCATTTGACTCCAGTGATTCATTTGAATGAAGGAGAAAGTCCTCGTGTTCTGATGAGGCTGAACTGCCCTGCTCTGCACCAACCGCCCCTGCCGCCCCTGCCGCCCCTGCCGCCCCTGCCGCCCCGCCCCCTGCCCCCTCCTGCCCTCTGACCCCTGTGTGACTCACACAAACAGCCTGCTTTAACCTCAGGTCGCTTTCCATCGGCCTGTCGTGCTCATGTCATGTAGCGTCTGTGAGAAGATCAATGAGAAGATTCTATTTGAACAGAAACATGAGTCACCTCAAGAACTCTGGTGTTCCACTGGAGAAACACCTCCCACTGGAGAAACACCTCCCACTGGAGAAACACCTCCCACTGGAGAAACACCTCCCACTGGAGAAACACCTCCCACACTGGAGAAACACCTCCCACTGGAGAAACACCTCCCACTGGAGAAACACCTCCCACTGGAGAAACACCTCCCACACTGGAGAAACACCTCCCACTGGAGAAACACCTCCCACTGGAGAAACACCTCCCACTGGGCCTCCTCGTTCCAAAGTGACACATGAGCCCTGCCCACAGGACACACTCGGCCTTTGTCTCCTCGTCCCGTCGGCGCCGGGTGAGGAGCGTCTCCTCGTCGGCGCGGTGAGGAGCGTCTCCTCGTCCCGTCGGCGGCGGGTGAGGAGCGTCTCCTCGTCGGGCGGGTGAGGAGCGTCTCCTCGTCCCGTCGGCGGCGGGTGAGGAGCGTCTCCTCGTCGGCGGGTGAGGAGCGTCTCCTCGTCGGGCGGGTGAGGAGCGTCTCCTCGTCCCGTCGTCGGCGGTGAGGAGCGTCTCCTCGTCGGGCGGGTGAGGAGCGTCTCCTCGTCCCGTCGTCGGCGGGTGAGGAGCGTCTCCTCGTCGGGCGGGTGAGGAGCGTCTCCTCGTCCCGTCGTCGGCGGGTGAGGAGCGTCTCCTCGTCGGGCGGGTGAGGAGCGTCTCCTCGTCCCGTCGTCGGCGGGTGAGGAGTCAGAGACATGGTGCCAGGGCGTGGCACGCTGGCGTCTCTTTGGGCGAGGCTTAAGTCGCTGAGGCTTCAGGAGGCCACGCCCCCCCCTCCCCCCCAGACAGAGCAGTGCCTCCTGGCAGCGCCTGGAGCTCTTCAGCTCTGTATAAGCAATAATTGGACAGGGAGTCAGGCGGGCGCTGCCCCTGTAACGGCTGTAGGACGGAGCGCGGGCAAAGCTGTAGGACGAGATGGTCAGGATACCTCGTGCCCACGTGTGCCCGCGTGTGTGTGTGTGCCCGTGTGTGTGTGTATGTGCCCGTGTGTGTGTGTATGTGCCCCTGTGTGTGTGTGTATGTGCCCGTGTGTGTGCCTGTGTGTGTGTGTGCCCGTGTGTGTGTGTGCCTGTGTGTGTGTGTGCCCGTGTGTGTGTGCCTGTGTGTGTGTGTGTGTGCCCGTGTGTGTGTGTGCCCGTGTGTGTGCCTGTGTGTGTGCCTGTGTGTGTGTGCCCGCGTGTGTGTGTGCCTGCGTGTGTGTGTGTGCCCACGTGTGTGTGCCCGTGTGTGTGTGTGCCCGCGTGCGTGTGCCCGTGTGTGTGTGTGTGTGTGCCCACGTGTGTGTGCCTGTGTGTGTGTGTGTGCCCGTGTGTGGTGTGTGCCGCGTGCGTGTGTGTGTGCCCGTGTGTGTGTGTGTGCCCGTGTGTGTGTGTGTGCCCACGTGTGTGTGCCTGTGTGTGTGTGTGCCCGTGTGTGTGTGTGCCCGCGTGTGTGTGTGCCTGTGTGTGTGTGTGCCCACGTGTGTGTGTGTGTGTGTGTGCCCACGTGTGTGTGCCTGTGTGTGTGTATGTGTGTCCGCGTGTGTGTGTGTGCGTGTGTGTGTGCCTGTGTGTGTGTGCCCACGTGTGTGTGTGTGCCCACGTGTGTGTGCCTGTGTGTGTGTATGTGTATCCGCGTGTGTGTGCCCACGTGTGTGTGCCTGTGTGTGTATGTGTGTGCCTGTGTGTGTGTGTGTGTGCCCATGTGTGTGTGCCTGCGTGTGTGTGTGCTCGTGTGTGTGTGTCCGCGTGTGTGTGTGCTCGTGTGTGTGTCCGTGTGTGTGCCCATGTTGTGCTCGTGTGTGTGTGTTTGTGTGACCTGACGGGCAGAGCACAGGGGCCGAGGAGACAGGATCAGTGACAGGGACAGTGACAGGTGCGTCCATCAGAGGAAAGAGGCCGGTGTCGGTACAAATGCGATTGTTTGTTCTGTGGATTATTTATCTGTAAATATTAAAGCCTAAACCCTGAAACTGTTTCTGTTTGACTCATTTACACCAGAAGAGGGCGACACTTTTACTCCACACATTTTACTCTCCACAAGTGTTAAAAATCTAAACTGTTTCAATTGTTTAAAGATCCTGAATGAAGCAAAACTGACTCCTGTGAGCTTCATGTTCTGATGTTCTACTGTTGTTGTTCACCATGTCCACCACGTCCATCAGGTCCACCAGGTCTATCAAGTCCATCAGGTCCACCAGGTCCACCATGTCCACCAGGTCCACCATGTCCACCACGTCCATCAGGTCCACCAGGTCCATCAGGTCTATCTAGGTCCATCAGGTCCACCATGTCCACCAGGTCCATCAGGTCCACCATGTCCACCAGGTCCTCCAGGTCTATCAAGTCCATCAGGTCCACCATGTCCACCAGGTCCGTCAGGTCCACCAGGTCCATCAGGTCCATCAGGTCTATGGGCTGTTTGATTATTTCTGTGAAATTCCACCAAATGTTCCTCTGCCCACACGACCCACCAGAGCTGGGACCAAGTCTCAAGTCTTTAACCTTGAGTCCGAGTCAAGTCCCAAGTCAAAGTCCAAGTCGAGACTCGAGCCACTGGCCCACAAGTCCAAGTCAAGTCCAAGTCATCTGCTTTGAGCTTCAAGTCATTCAAGTCTTTAAATCAATCATTATTTATATATTTTTTAAATTAAATTGTTCTTAAAAAGTCACAGTTGAGTATTTATATAAAAGTTGTAGAAATGCAAATTTTTCCTTTTGAAATATTTTGACAAAAGTGTGAATTTTTACAGACAGAACAAAGAGTTAAGATTAAAAAGTTTAATAACACTTTTTTGTCAACGAGTCTGAACATCAAGTCTGAGTCAAGTCCCAAGTCTTGGTCCATTTTATCAAGTCAAGTCTCAAGTCGTAAAAATAGTGACTCAAGTCTGACTCGAGTCCAAGTTACGACTCGCAAGTCCAACCTCCAAGTTTAAACGCGGAGTCTTTACTGAGAACGATTTTTGTGCCGATTTATTCTTACGATAAAAAGGTGAGTGACTGTGACCTTCAGGTCCCAGCTGCAGAAAAACTCTTTAGACAAATAAATCACGCTGATAAAACTTTATTTATTTCAACATAAATAAGACAAGTCACAGTTAAACATGCATCAGGTCAGACATACGGAAACTTTAGTCTATTTACATTTAAACATTTCAAATATATTGGGAAAAAAAACGTGGATTAAAGCTCCTGTAAAACCCAAAACCTTAAGTTCTAAAGTTCTAATGTTCTAAAGGTCCTGGTCACACAGAGTCGGCGTCGTGTTTGTTTCGTTCACATGTTTGAGTGACGCTTTATTATTAGTTTCTGCAGGTTTGTGTATGAAACGTGTGAATGAAACAAAACACAAAGAAACGACAGAACAGAGAAAAGTGAGACGAGAAATTTTAACTTCAGAACATGTGACCAGCTCCAGAGTGAAGCTGAAGGTCTCCTCTGGAACACACGGACCTGAAGCTGAAGGTCTCCTCTGGAACACACGGACCTGAAGCTGAAGGTCTCCTCTGGAACACACGGACCTGAAACTGAAGCTGCAGGAGAAACACGGGGTCCGGGTCCTTCAGCGGAGTCACCTCTCAGACGACAGGGCCACGTCCTCAGACAGGTGCTCACCTGCAACAAAGCACAACACACTCAGAAACACAGAGCGAGACACTAAGGCACTAAACCCCGAGACCAGGGTGAAAAAATGCATAACACACTCGGTTGGCCGATGTCCAAATACTATTTTATTAACAAAATAATGTTTGGGCAAAAAAAGCCTTCATCAGATATTTTTCTTGTCTTGGACCACAGCACACAAAATGGTTGCCAGCCCAGGTGCCCATATACCCACTCAATGAATGGGAGGTCCCAAAGTGAGGTCACCCAGTGAGTCTAGGGGGCAGTTCCACATGTTCGATGCCAATATATCTTAAGGAAGAGACAGGATGGTTAAAATCAACAAAATGAGCCGCCACAGGATAGTTCATGTTTTTACATGTGATTGTTCTCCTGTGTTCTGCAGTCCGTGTTTTTAAAGCCCTGCTGGTTTTACCCACATAAGCTTTACCACAGGGGCAGGTGATCATATAAATCACAGACTTGGTGTTACAGGATATAATTCCTTTGATCGTTATTTCTTTACCAGTGTGAGGAGCTTAAAACTGTTGCAGCGATATGTATAGTTACACTGACTGCACCACCACAGCGACGATTTCCATCAGGAATAGGAGTCAGTATAGTTTGGTGTGATGTGGTTTGATTAGGAGGAAGGTAGGAGTGCACAAGTTTATCTCCAAAGTTTCTTCCTCTTTTATACACCACTAGGGGGAGCTCTTTGAAAGCCACACCCAATGAAGGGTCAGTTTTTAGTATATGCCAATGTTTAGTTATGATGTTTTTAAGTTGTTCCGCGGGTTTTGAGTATCCAGTAGAAAATATAATCTGCTTATTGGCATTTTTTGGAGGGTTGACCCTCAGAAAATCAGATCTAGGTTTTCCTTTTACTTTAGTGGCAGCATCATTTAAAATAGATTTCTTATAACCCCTTTGTTCAAAGTTTGTCATCATATTACTTAAATTTCTTTCAAAGTCATCAGTTTTGTGGCATATTCTTTTAAGCCTACAAAATTGACTGTATGGGAGACTCTTTTTCAATGGAAGTGGATGCTGAGAGTCAGCTCTAAGTAAAGAATTTCGAGCTGTAGGCTTTTTATATAAGTCCATGTACAGCTGATTACCCTCTCTGATGATCCACAAGTCCAAAAAACTCAAGCGCTGTTGATCATAATCCATGGTAAAAGATATATATGAGGAGCGCGAGTTCAGATAAGCAAAAAATGACTCAAGTCTCAATTTAGTACCTTTGAACAAGCAAAAAATGTCATCCAAATATCTCTTCCATAGACATATGTTTTCTTTGAATTCATTATCATGATAGATAAACTTTTCCTCAAACAGACCCATGTATAAGTTACAGAAGGATGGTGAGAAAGGGCTACCCATAGCTACTCCATGTTTTTGAATGTAAAAAGTGTCCTGAAAAACCCAAGAGTTGTTTTTCAATATAAGCCACGACATATCCAGAATAGAATTCAAAGAGGGGACCTCAGTGTTCAATTTGGTCACATAATGTTTCATTGCCTCATTACCCCCATCATGTGGAATGGAGGTGTACATAGTGTTTATATCAAAAGATACCAAATACCATTCCTCTTCATTGGAGACACAGTCTATAGATTCAACAAAGTTTATCATATGACCTGTGTCCTTTATGAAGGAAGGCAAAGCTTCAGCTGCAGGTCTGATAATACTATCAATAAAAATAGACAGATTAGATGTAAGTGAGCCAATACTGGCTACAATTGGTCTCCCTGGTGGATTTTCAAGGCTTTTGTGTATTTTTGGCAAAATATAGAAAGTAGGAATAATAGTGTAGTCCACTTTAAGAAAGCTATATTCATTTTCAGAAATCTCACCATTCTGTAACAATAAACTTAAAGCTTCATGAATAGAGTTCTTAAAATCATCTGTAGGATTATTTGGAAGTTTTTCATAGAATGTATTGTCTGATAATTCTGTCTCATACATTCTTTTAAATAGTCAGATTTGTTCATCACTACAATAGCCCCACCTTTATCAGCTTGTTTTATTATTATAGTTTCATCTAAGGCAGTTTGTTCTTCCTTAGTTAGGTTTTTGTAAGTTTGAAAACAGTTTTTCTTTTTTAAAAGGGCATCAACATCCTGTTCAACTAATCTGCAATAGGTTTCAATTGAATTATTTCGGTTGGAGGAGGAATGAAAGTACTTTTACCTCTAAAATATTTTTTGGGGGTTGTATTTTCCGTTATAGACAAATCAGATGACAAAGACTGATGTTCTACAGACGTATTTTGCTTAAAAAATTCTTTGAGTCGTATATTTCTGAAAAACCTAAAGAGGTCTACTTTAACATCAAAGTCTTTAATATTGTTAGTGGGCACAAACGAAAGTCCTTTGTTTAAAACTGATATGTGGGACTTAGTCAGTGACTTACTAGAAAGGTTGAAAACAGTTAGTTCTTCTGGTGATGAACCCTGGACCGGGTCCATGGTCTTTCTCCTCTTCCCCCGCCGTGTAGGGCGCCTGTGTGGTTGTCTTCTTCCTCTGTTTCGCTCGTGCATGCTCTTGTTGGATAAAAAACTAGAGCTCGATGCTGTTGATACTTGGTCAGAGGAGAAATCTTCCCTTTGTTGTCGCCACACCACTTTTTTCTCTGTTGATCTCCAGGGGTAGGTTTTTCCTTCCAGGGCATCATTTTTATCTCTGTTGAACTTCCGAATCTTGATTTCTTTGATTTCCTTTGACAATTTCATTTGCATTTCTTCATTAGCTTTCAGAACATCCTTAATTTTCTCATCATTTACAGCCATTCCCAACATAGTTGTTTTCTTCAAGGTTATCTGATTGTCCAGATCATCTAGTTCTTTTTTTAGTTGATCAACCAGCAAAGTCATGAGGTCGAATGAACACTTATTTAATATTGCACACCAGCGATCACAAAATTCATCTGTTCTTTGGCCCAACATGGGTTCCTTCTGCCAGCGGAGCCCTTGTGGGATAATTCCATGTCGGATATAATCACTTAAGGTTATTGCGTGCAAATGCATCTTGGTCCGACGTTTGGATAGACTTGCCAGTTCACTAAACCCCGAGACCGACATCAAGACACGGCACTAAGGCCTGTGCCATGGAGTTGTGGAACATTCCATTCCATTCCATTTACTTCCGCTTATCCGGGGCCAGGTCGCGGGGGCAGCAGCCTAACCAGGGACTCCCAGACTTCCTTCACCCCAGACATGTCCTCCAGCTCCTTCGGGGGGACCCCGAAGTGTTCCCAGTCCAGCTGAGAGACATAGTCCCTCCAGTGTGTCCTGGGTCTTCCCCGGGGAATCCTCCCGGTGGGACATGCCCAGAACACCTCCCGAAGGAGGCGCCCAGGAGGCATCCGGAACAGATGCCTGAGCCTCAACTGGCTCTCTCGACGTGGAGGAGCAGCGGCTCTACTCTGAGCTTTAACTTCTTAGGTTCTTTTTAAAGACAATGCAGTAAAGTGTATTTACCTTGTTGACATGTTTTGGCTGCTAGCTGCAAGCCATCTTCAGAACTGTCACCGGTGTTGGTGGTGACGTGTCGTATATCAGCTGTTGTTACTTCCTGTAGGCGTGGTCAGACCTGATGGACCTGGCAGGTCGCTCAGACTGACCACGCCTCCCGTCGCCCGGTGTCTCTGGAGGAGGGTGTCCCAGTTGTGTGAAAGGAGGAAGGCTCCGTCATCACGGTTAATGCTGTTCGTGCCTCGTTTCCTGATTTCACCGTCCTCCTTGATCCAGCGTTTGAACTTGTTGTTTTCCGATCCAATGATCCGAGCCTCGTCCTGATCCATAATGTGGTTGTTCCTTTTACAGCGTCTGATGTGGCGGATTTTAGGTTTTCCTGTTCTGCTTTGTCTTTTTGTGTTCTGGTGAGTCTCCCTGACGTTTCCTTTTCGCATTCCTTTTGGTGTTCCTTTTTTCCGATGTGGAATGCCCGGCCTGTTTCCCCTATGTATGATTTATTGCATGATTTGCATTGAATTTCGTAGATGGTGTTGCATTTTTGTTCTTGTGGGATTTTGTCCTTGGGATGTACGAGTTGTTGGTGGAGTTTTGTGTCTGGTTAGACTCCAGTGTTTCTGTTGTGTTTTTTCATGTCTCTCTGGATGGTTCAGTTGTTCCTCTGATGTTCTGTAGTGTGACTATGTTCTTGTGGTCCTGCTGCCCTGTGTTGCATTGTTGTGTTTTTTTCCGGGGTTTGTTGGTTTTATTGATAACTTGTTGTTTATAGCCCAGCTGGGATATTGACATTGTTTGAGTGTTTGTGTGACGTGTCTCTCCTCTTCTTCTCTGTCGGTCTGTGATGAGTGTGGCCTGTTCCAATAATGTTCTTACTACTGAAAGTTTGTGTGCAGTGGGGTGTTCGGATGTCCAGAGCAGATATTGGTCAGTGTGTGTAGGTTTCCGGTATATTGTGATTTTAATGCTGCCATCTGCGATGTGGTGGATTTTAATGTCCAGAAAAGATATGGCTCCGTCTTTCTCCTCCTCATGTGTGAATTGAATGTTTCCTGTGTCGTCTTGTGTGTTCAGATGGTCCGTGAGTTCTTGTGTGTGTCCTTGCTGTATTTTTTCCAGGATGTCATCTACGTAGCGTTTCCAAAAGGTTAAACGGCATTGTGGTGGTGCGGTGTTGAATGCTTTTTGTTCCAGGTCCTCCATGAAAAAACTGCTCATTATTGCTGATAGTGGATCTCCCATTGCGAACCCCTCTTTCTGTCTGTAAATGATGTTGTTGTACTGAAAATATGTAGATTTGGCCACGAAACGTAATAATTGTGAAATGTCATCAACTGTTAGATTTGTGCGTTTTTTTGAGAGTTCTGTCCTTTTTAAGTTTTTCCTGTACTATGTGTAGTGTGACATCCACGGGTGTTTTAGTGAACTGTGATATGACGTCGTGTGAGATGAGTATTTCATCCGGTGCTATTGTAATGTTTTTTAGTTCCTGTGCCAATTGTTTTGCATTCTTGCAGTGGAATTTTGTTTGACCGATGAGTGGTTTTATTATTTCGACCAGGGCTTTGGATAAATTGTATGTTACCGAACCTATGCTATCGACTATCGGGCGGAGCGGCGTGTCTGTTTTGTGAATTTTCGGGGTACCGTAAATGCGCGGGGTGATGCTGGCTGTAGGGATTAAATCGTTGTTTGCTTCTCGGGTGATTTTTTTCTGTTCTAATAGGGGTTTGAGTAATGTTTTGAGGGTTCGTTTCTTTTCTTCTGTCGGATTCTTTTTGATGATTTCGTAGGTGTCGGTGTCTGCGAGTAGTGCTTCCATTTTATGTTCGTATGTTTTCTTGTCCAATATGACTGTTGTCCTGCCTTTATCTGCGGGTAAAATAATGATTGTGTTGTCTTTTTTCATGTGATTAATGGCTTTCCTTTCCTTCTTGGTTATATTGCTTTTCGGTAATTTGGCTGTTTTTAGAATCCCTGTCACTGTGTTGCGTAAATCTGCTTTTTGTCCCTGATTTGGTATTTTTTGGCATGCTAGTTCCGTGGCTAATAGGTATTCTTCTATGGGTATTTTGTTTGGGGTGGTGGCAAAATTAAGTCCTCGTGTAAGTACGTTTGTTTCTGTTTCTGTGATTTTTCGCTGAGTTAAATTGCATACCCATTTATCTTTATTTTTTGTTAGTGAGGTTTCGATTTTGCTGTGTTTTTTCTCTATTAGTAATTTTAATTTCCTAACATGGCGGTCCTTAGTAGTTTTAAATTCTAATTCGTATGTATTTTCTAAATGTTTGTTGTGCCTCTTCTTCCATGGGGAAAAGCCGTCTGTATTTCTCGCTTTCGTCCATTAGTTCTCGTTCAATGTTTTTCTGTTTATTGATAGTGATGCGAATCCTTTCATTTAATAGTGCTTTTTTGGCCTTATTAACTATTTGTTTTGCATTATGGGTTGGGATCGGGGTCTTGATGTTAATACTAGCTGGCGTGATGTTCTCGTCTCTGCATCGGAGATTGAAGCGTAGGTGGTTGTTATAGCGGGCGCGCGCCTTTTCCAGCCTCTCCAAATGGCAAAGTGCTTTGACACCTTTTTGTCCAAATCTTCTTCTTATTAAGCCAATGAAGACATAATGAACATCATTGGCTCTACTCCGAGCTCCTCCCGTGTGATTGAGCTCCTCACCCTATCTCTAAGGGAGCGCCCAGCCACCCTGCGGAGGAAACTCATTTCGAGCGCTTGTATCCGCGATCTCGTCCTTTCGGTCATTACCCAGAGCTCATGACCAGAGGTGAGAGTAGGAACGAAGACTGACCGGTAAATCGAGAGCTTCACCTTTCGACTCAGCTCCTCTTCACCACAACGGTCCGATACAGCGACCGCATCACTGCCGAAGCTGCACCGATCCGCCTGTCAATCTCACGTTCCATCCTCCCCTCACTCGTGAACAAGACCCCGAGATACTTGAACTCCTCCACTTGAGGCAAAGACTCCCCACCCACCCGGAGAGGGCAAGCCACCTTTTTCCGGTCGAGAACCATGGCCTCGGACTTGGAAGAGCTGATCTTCATCCCAGCCGCTTCACACTCGGCTGCAAACCGCCCCAGTGCTGCAGGTCCTGGTTCGATGAAGCCAACAGAACAACATCGTCTGCAAACAGCAGAGATGAAATCCTGTGGTCCCCAAACCGGACCCCCTCCGGCCCCTGACTGCGCCTAGAAATTCTGTCCATAAACACAATGAACAGAACCGGTGACAGGTGCAGCCCTGGCGGAGTCCAACATGCACCGGGAACAGGTCTGACTTACTGCCGGCAATGCGAACACAGCTCCTGCTCCGGTCATACAGGGACCGGACAGCCCTTAGCAAAGGGCCCCGAACCCCATACTCCCAGAGCACCCCCCACAGGACACCACGAGGGACACGGTCGAATGCCTTCTCCAAGTCCACAAAACACATGTGGACTGGTTGGGCAAACTCCCATGAACCCTCGAGCACCCGATGGAGAGTGTAGAGCTGGTCCAGTGTTCCACGGCCAGGACGAAAACCACACTGCTCCTCCTGGATCTGAGGTTCGACTATCGGCCGGATTCTCCTCTCCAGTACCCTGGCATAGACCTTACCGGGAAGGCTGAGGAGTGTGATCCCCCTATAGTTGGAACACACCCTCCGGTCCCCCTTCTTATACAGAGGGACCACCACCCCGGTTTGCCAGTCCAGAGGTACTGTCCCCGACCGCCACACGATGTTGAAGAGGCGTGTCAGCCAAGACCCACAACATCCAGAGACTTAAGATACTCAGGACGGATCTCATCCAACCCCGGAGCCTTGCCACCAAGGAGCTTTCCAACCACCTCAGTGACTTCAGCCAGGGTGATGAGTCCGTCTCCAAGTCCCCAGCCTCGGCCTCCTCCTCGGAAGACGTGACGGTGGGATTGAGGAGATCCTCAAAGTTATTCCTTCCACCGCCGGACAACGTCCCCAGTCAAGGTCAGCAGCTCTCCCCCCCGCACTGTAAACAGTGTTGGTGAAGAACTGCTTCCCCCTCCTGAGGCGCCGGACGGTTTGCCAGAATCTCTTTGAGGCCGTCCGATAGTCCTCCTCCATGGCCTCCCCGAACTCCTCCCAGCTCCGAGTTTTTGCCTCTGCACCACACGGGCTGCAGCACGCTTGGCCCGCCAGTACCCATCAGCTGCTTCAGGAGTCCCCCGAGCCAGCAAGGCCCGATAGGACTCCTTCTTCAGCTTGACGGCATCCCTTACTTCTGGTGTCCACCACCGGGTTCGGGGATTGCCGCCGCGACAGGCACCACAGACCTTACGCCCACAGCTCCGAGCAGCCGCATTGACAATAGAGGCCGAGAATGAAGCCCACTCGGACTCCATATCTCCAGCCTCCCCCGGAATCCGGGAGAAGTCCTCCCGGAGGTGCGAGTTGAAAGTCCCTCTGACAGAGGGCTCCGCCAGACGTTCCCAACAGACCCTCACTACACGCTTGGGTCTGCCAGGTCTTTCCGGCTTCCTCCTCCGCCAGCGAACCCAACTCACAACCAGGTGGTGATCAGTTGACAGCTCAGCCCCTCTCTTCACCCGAGTGTCCAAGACACGCGGCCGGAGATCAGATGACACGACTACAAAGTCGATCATCGACCTCCGGCCTAGGGTGTCCTGGTGCCACGTGCACTTATGGACACCCTTGTGCTCGAACATGGTGTTCGTTATGGACAAACCGTGACTAGCACAGAAGTCCAATAGCAAAACACCGCTCGGGTTCAGATCAGGGAGGCCGTTCCTCCCAATCACCCCTCTCCAAGTGTCACTGTCGTTGCCCACGTGGGCGTTGAAGTTCCCCAGGAGAACAACGGAGTCCCCGGTCGGTGCACTGTCTAGTACCCCTCCCAAGGACTCCAAGAAGGCCAGGTACTCGAGTACTCAGCACTGTTGTTCAGCCCGTAGGCCGACACCACAGTGAGAGACCTGTCCCCGACCCGAAGGCGCAGGGACGTGACCCTCTCGTTCACCGGGGTGAACTCCAACACACAGCGGCTGAGCTGTGGGGCAATGAGCCCACACCAGCCCCCCCCCCCCACACCAGCCCGCCGCCGCTCCCCCCCCCCACACCAGCCCGCCGCCGCTCCCCGCGGCCAACGCCAGAGAAATGGAGAGTCCAGCCCCTCTCAAGGAGTTGGGTTCCAGAGCCCAAACTGTGTGTGGAGGTGAGGCCGACTATATTGTGGAACATGAGGATATAAAATGTCGTGTGATTTTAAAGGAACCGTATTTGAGGTTGTAATTCTACATTTCCCAAACTTCAGTTCAAACTGTCCCAGAAATGAAGTAAACTAATTCAAACTGGAAAAAAAATTCTTCTTCTTCTGGTTTTAGTCGTGATTATTTCTGCTTAACAACGACAGGAAACGATCCTGACGTCACCTGACGTCAAAGGTTTTACCTGCGATTCCACCTTTGGCCTGTGGGGGCTGCACCTGGCGCCCCCTGCTGGTCGTCCTGTCATCTCCACAAGTCCTGGTCTGATTTTCATTTAAACCCGTTTTAGTATAAACACTGAAAACTTTTCTTTTTGTCTCACCCGTAGGGGGCGTGTCTCACCCGTAGGGGGCGTATCTCACCCGTAGGGGGCGTGTCTCACCTGTAGGGGGCGTGGCGGGGCCCTCGTCCTCGGTGTCACTGCTCACACCTGAAGTTCCGTCTGAAACACAAAACCGTAAACTTTAGTCTGAATGTTTTTTCTCCACAGAAACTTGACCAAATGAACAAAGCTCAAAGACTCGCGCAGATTCAGATTCAGATTCAACATTTTCCCGAAGGCCAATGCGCTTCTTTTAAACGCAGGAATGTTTCCACTCGGGGCAGTTTGGACATTTTCCTGTCACCGTCTGATTCTGTGATCAGTGAAACATGAGCAGATTATAACAGGCTCATATTTGATTCATGTCAGAAAAGACCAACGTTTGACAAATAATTAAAAAAAAATTATAAAAAAGAGACACACGTGAGGAGGGTGAGACACCCGTGAGGAGGGTGAGACACCCGTGAGGAGGGTGTGAGACACCCGTGAGGAGGGTGAGACACCCGTGAGGAGGGTGAGACACCCGTGAGGAGGGTGAGATACCCGTGAGGAGGGTGAGACACCCGTGAGGAGGGTGAGACACCCGTGAGGAGGGTGAGACACCCGTGAGGAGGGTGAGATACCTGTGAGGGTCGGAGGGTCCAAGAGCTGGTGGGCTCCAAACCCGTCCGGCTGCTGCACTGCCCCCCTGAGGCAGAGAGAGGAACAACACACAGTCACAAAGAACAACAGCAAAGAAAACAAAACATGTCCACATGTCTCTGCACCTGTCCAAGTGTCTCTGCACCTGTCCAAATGTCTCTGCACCTGTCCAAGTGTCTCTGCACCTGTCCAAATGTCTCTGCACCTGTCCAAATGTCTCTGCACCTGTCCACGTGTCTCTGCACCTGTCCACGTGTCTCTGCACCTGTCCACGTGTCTCTGCACCTGTCCAAATGTCTCTGCACCTGTCCAAATGTCTCTGCACCTGTCCACGTGTCTCTGCACCTGTCCACGTGTCTCTGCACCTGTCCAAATGTCTCTGCACCTGTCCACGTGTCTCTGCACATGTCCACGTGTCTCTGCACCTGTCCAAATGTCTCTGCACCTGTCCACGTGTCTCTGCACCTGTCCACGTGTCTCTGCACCTGTCCACGTGTCTCTGCACCTGTCCAATGTCTCTGCACCTGTCCACGTGTCTCTGCACCTGTCCACGTGTCTCTGCACCTGTCCACGTGTCTCTGCACCTGTCCACGTGTCTCTGCACCTGTCCAAATGTCTCTGCACCTGTCCACGTGTCTCTGCACCTGTCCACGTGTCTCTGCACCTGTCCAAATGTCTCTGCACCTGTCCAAATGTCTCTGCACCTGTCCACGTGTCTCTGCACATGTCCACGTGTCTCTGCACATGTCCACGTGTCTCTGCACCTGTCCACGTGTCTCTGCACCTGTCCACGTGTCTCTGCACTGTCCACGTCTCTGCACCTGTCCACGTGTCTCTGCACCTGTCCACGTGTCTCTGCACCTGTCCACGTGTCTCTGCACCTGTCCAAATGTCTCTGCACCTGTCCACGTGTCTCTGCACCTGTCCACGTGTCTCTGCACCTGTCCAAGTGTCTCTGCACCTGTCCAGGTGTCTCTGCACCTGTCCACGTGTCTCTGCACCTGTCCAAGTGTCTCTGCACCTGTCCAAATGTGTCTGTGGGTTATTTTTGTTTGTTTAAGATGAAAAATGTCAAATATCAAAGCAGTAAAACCTTTAAAGGTCCGTCTGACTCTGATCTGTTCTAATGTTGTTTCCTCGTCACAAACAGACCTGGAGTTGTTGGAAACTACCACCTGATGACATCACAAGGTGGAACAGAGCGTCTGGAGCTTTGGAGATGTAACAGACTCATGATAAAAGAGTTACTCAAACAAACACAACTCCAGCTCTGAGTGTGAGGAGGTCACAGGTTTGGGTCATATTGGACCTTCACGTAAACTTCTACTTCCATCACTCTGGTCCTCATGGTCCTGAAGCTCTGAAGCTCTGAAGCTCTGAAGCTCTGAAGCTCTGAAGCTCTGAAGCTCGTGTGGACGCTCACCCTGTGACGCTGAAGCCTGATCCAGAGAAGAGCAGGCTGGAGCTGGAGACCTGTCCTGAGGAGAGGGTCTCTGCTGGAGCTTCAGCCTTCACCACACCTGAAACACAAAACACAACAGTTACACACAAACACCACAAACACAAACGCAACAAACACAAACACAAACACAACAAACACAAACACCAAAAACACAAACACAACAAACACCACAAACACGAAAACACAACAGTTACACACAAACACCACAAACACAAACACAACAAACACAACACAAACACAAAAAAACACAAACACCACAAAACACAACACAACAAACACAAACACCAAAAACACAAACACAACAAACACCACAAACACGAAAACACAACAGTTACACACAAACACCACAAACACAAAACACAACAGTTACACACAAACACCACAAACACAACAGTTACACACAAACACCACAAACACAAAACACAACAAACACAAACACAACAAACACAAAAAACACAAACACCAAAAACACAAACACAACAAACACCACAAACACGAAAACACAACAAACACAAACACAAAAAACACAAACACCAAAAACACAAACACCAAAAACACAAACAAACAACAAAACACAAACACAAAACACACACAAACACAACAAACATAAACACAAACACAACAAACACAACAAACATAAACACAAACACACAAACACAACCAGAACAATTACACAAACGCCGCACACTCAAACTCCACTCGAGGTCTGAAGTCTTTGGTCTCGTTGGAAACGATCAGTTCAACATTTGTGAATTGACACTTTGGAGATTTCAGGAAATGTTGAAATTACAACATGAGTGCGCACCTGTCAACTGTGCACCTGTCAACTGTGCACCTGTCAACTGTGCACCTGTCGACTGTGCACCTGTCGACTGTGCACCTGTCAACTGTGCACCTGTCAGGAGCAGTGAGTCTGAGGGCAGGAGGTCCGGGGTCCTGCCCGAGTCCAGGACTGGAGACTGGGACTTCCTGGCTGTGGGGACACACAGTTAACTCATAGAACCAGACAGAACCACACAGAACCAGACAGAACCACACAGAACCAGACAGAACCACACAGAACCACACAGAACCAGACAGAACCAGACAGAACCACACAGAACCAGACAGAGACAGAACCAGACAGAACCAGACAGAACCACACAGAACCAGACAGAACCACACAGAACCACACAGAACCAGACAGAACCAGACAGAACCACACAGAACCAGACAGAGACAGAACCAGACAGAACCAGACAGAACAGACAGAACCACACAGAACCACACAGAACCACACAGAACCAGACAGAGACAGAACCAGACAGAACCAGACAGAACCACACAGAAATTGTCGTGGTCGTCCCCGTCGTGGTCGTCCCCGTCGTGGTCGTCCCCGTCGCGGTCGTCCCCGTCGTGGTCGTACCTGACTGAGTGGTTCTTCCTCTGGTTCTCCTGAGCTCCGGCTCGTCGGGTTTGTGCCCCGGCGCCCGCTCGGAGTCAGGGAGGTGAGAGGGCGGCTCCTCGGCGCTCTGGGCACCCGAGGGCCCCGGCCGAGCGTCTCCGGACTCCAGCATGTGGTTCTTCACGTCGCACATTTTGTTCCGGACCTCGGCCATCTGCGCCTTGAGCCTGAGCAGCACAGCAGAGTCTGGGGCAGAACGCCGCACCACCTGAGGGCGCCGCTCTCGCTCCTTCCTCAGGTGAGCTACAAGAGACAACAGAGTGAGTCAGTGGAAGGGGCGTGGTCAGAGTGAAAGGGGGCGTGGTCAGGGTGGAAGGGGGCGTGGTCTGACCTTGGCTGAGCAGGGAGAGGGGGGGCCGAGGCTGCAGACCCCACACAGACTCCACACTGCTGTGCTCCTTCAGCTCCAGAAGCTGCAGAAGAATCACAGGGTCCATCTCCAGCAGACCGGCGCCCGTGCCCACCGTGCCCACCGTGCCCACCGCGCCCACCGCGCCCGCCCCCACGGCGCCCCCTACGGCTGCACTGTACCCCCGAGAGAGAGCGCCGGCGCTGGCCAGGCGCCCGCCACAGCTCGCCCCTCCTGAAACACAGGAATCAAACTCATTAGAGACATCACGTTGAAAGAGGAGGGGGCTGCATGTATGTCTATGGTGGGATGTTCAGCAGTTACCATGGTGACACCGTGCACCGTGCCTGTCAGAAACTGTCAGCTTTAGATGATTGAAAACTCAATAAAGAAATACAAAATGGATTTAGATTTAGAGTTTGATTTTCAACAAAAGCTGAGAGTTGGAGCTGTTGTACTTGAAGGTCACATCAGTCAGGTCTTTCTGCTCTGATTGTGTTAAAATAAACTTTCAGACAGAGCAGTGCCTCAGGCTGGAACCCCCTCCATGTTCAGTGTTTGTCATGAGGGTGGAGCTGACAGTTCTATTTTTTCACTTTTTTAGCAAATGTTTAATTTGTCCATATTTTATTTCACAGCCAGGTTCAGGTCAGAGAAGAAGGATTCACCTGTCGCTCCCATCAGGTCTTCAGGAAGTTCTCCTTCTTCAGTCTCCAGGTTCCCCACAAAGTCTATGTCGATCTCCCCAGACCTGCAGAGGAGGAGGAGGAGGTGACAGGAGAAGATCACAGGAGAAGATCACAGGGGTAAAGGAGGAGGTGACAGGAGGAGGTGACAGGGGTAAAGGAGGAGGTGACAGGGGTAAAGGAGGAGGTGACAGGGGTAAAGGAGGAGGTGACAGGGGTAGGAGGAGGTGACAGGGGTAAGGAGGAGGTGAGGAGGTGACAGGGGTAAAGGAGGAGGTGACAGGAGGAGGTGACAGGGGTAAAGGAGGAGGTGACAGGAGGAGGTGACAGGGTACAGGAGGTGAGGAGGAGGTGACAGGGGTACAGGAGGAGGTGACAGGGGTAAAGGAGGAGGTGACAGGAGGAGGTGACAGGGGTACAGGAGGAGGTGACAGGGGTAAAGGAGGAGGTGACAGGAGGAGGTGACAGGGGTAAAGGAGGAGGTGACAGGAGGAGGTGACAGGGGTAAAGGAGGAGGTGACAGGGGTAAAGGAGGAGGTGACAGGAGGAGGTGACAGGGGTAAAGGAGGAGGTGACAGGGGTAAAGGAGGAGGTGACAGGAGGAGGTGCAGGGGTAAGGAGGAGGTGACAGGGGTAAGGGAGGAGGGTGACAGGGTAAAGGAGAGGTGACAGGGGTAAAGGAGGAGGTGGAGGAGGTGACAGGAGGAGGTGACAGGTAAAGGAGGAGGTGACAGGGGTAAAGGAGGAGGTGACAGGAGGGGTACAAGGAGGAGGTGACAGGGGTAAAGGAGGAGGTGACAGGAGGAGGTGACAGGGGTAAAAGGAGGAGGTGACAGGGGTAAAGGAGGAGGTGACAGGGGTAAAGGAGGAGGTGACAGGGGTAAAGGAGGAGGTGACAGGGGTAAAGGAGGAGGTGACAGGAGGAGGTGACAGGGGTAAAGGAGGTGACAGGGGTAAAGGAGGAGGTGACAGGGGTAAAGGAGGAGGTGACAGGGGTAAAGGAGGAGGTGACAGGGGTAAAGGAGGTGCTCACATGGTCTCCTCATCGATGTCGTTCTCCTCCGTGTTGCTGGTGGCCGTGGAGCTCCCGGAGGTGCTGCTGCCGTCCAGGGGGTTCACCTCCTCCTCGGTCAAACAGTCGACCTCCAGGTCCCCGTCTGACAGCTCCTGAGCAAAGAGCCAGAGTGAGAGGAGCCAGAGGCAGAAGAGGACGAGGGGCAGAAGAGGACGAGGGGCAGAAGAGGACGAGGGGCAGAAGAGGACGAGGGGCAGAAGAGGACGAGGGGCAGAAGAGGACGAGGGGCAGAAGAGGACGAGGGGCAGAAGAAGACGAGGGCAGACGAGGACGAGGAGGACGAGGGAGGGCAGAAAGAGGAGCCAGAGGCAGAAGAGGACGAGGGGCAGAAGAAGACGAGGGGCAGAAGAGGACGAGGGCAGAAGAAGACGAGGGGAGACGAGGACGAGGGGCAGAAGAGGAGCCAGAGGCAGAAGAGGAGCAGAGGCAGAAGAGGACGAGGGGCAGAAGAGGAGAGGGGCAGAGAGGACGAGGGGCAGAAGAAGACGAGAGGCAGAAGAGGACGAGGGGCAGAAGAGACGAGGGGCAGAAGAGACGAGGGGCAGACGAAGACGAGGGGCAGAAGAAGACGAGGGGCAGAAGAGGACGAGGGGCAGAAGAGGACGAGGGGCAGAAGAGGACGAGGGGCAGAAGAAGACGAGGGCAGAAGAGGACGAGGGGCAGAAGAAGACGAGGGGCAGAAGAGGACGAGGGGCAGAAGAGGACGAGGGGCAGAAGAAGACGAGGGGCAGAAGAGGACGAAGAGGGAGGGCAGAAGAGGACGAGGGGCAGAAGAAGACGAGGGGAAGAAGAAGACGAGGGGCAGAAGAGGACGAGGGGCAGAAGAAGACGAGGGGCAGAAGAGGACGAGGGGCAGAAGAGGACGAGGGGCAGAAGAGGACGAGGGGCAGAAGAGGACGAGGGGCAGAAGAGGAGCCAGAGGCAGAAGAGGAGACGAGGGCAGAAGAGGACGAGGGCAGAAGAAGACGAGGGGCAGAAGAAGACGAGGGGCAGAAGGGAAGCAGAGAGGACGAGGGGCAGAAGAGGACGAGGGGCAGAAGAGGACGAGGGGCAGAAGAGGGACGAGGGGCAGAAGAAGACGAGGGGCAGAAGAAGACGAGGGGGCAGAAGAGACGAGGGCAGAAAGAGGACGAGGGGCAGAAGAGGACGAGGGGCAGAAGAAGACGAGGGGCAGAAGAAGACGAGGGGCAGAAGAGGACGAGGGGCAGAAGGACGAGGGGCAGAAAGACGAGGGGCAGAGAAGAGACGAGGGGCAGAAGAGGACGAGGGGCAGAAGAAGACGAGGGGCAGAGAAGACGAGGGGCAGAAGAAGACGAGGGGCAGAAGAGACGAGGGGCAGAAGAGGACGAGGGGCAGAAGAGGACGAGGGCAGAGAGGACGAGGGGCAGAAGAGGACGAGGGGCAGAGAGGACGAGGGGCAGAAGAGACGAGGGGCAGAAGAAGACGAGGGCAGAAGAGACGAGGGGCAGAAGAGGACGAGGGGCAGAAGAGGACGAGGGGCAGAAGAGGACGAGGGGCAGAAGAAGACGAGGGGCAGAAGAAGACGAGGGGCAGAAGAAGAGAGAGGGCAGAAAGAAGACGAGGGGCAGAAGAGGACGAGGGCAGAAGAGGACGAGGGGCAGAAGAGACGAGGGGCACGAGGGCAGAAGAAGACGAGGGGCAGAAGAGGACAAGGGGCAGAAGAAGACGAGGGGCAGAAGAAGACGAGGGGCAGAAGAGGACGAGGGGCAGAAGAGGACGAGGGGCAGAAGAGGACAAGGGGCAGAAGAGGACAAGGGGCAGTAGAGGACAAGGGGCAGCAGAGAGAGGGCACTCACGTTGGCGTCGTCCTGCAGGGCTCTGGTCGTGTCCTCTCCTCTCTTGGACCTCCCCGCGCTCTTGTCCTCGGGGGGGTCCCTCTCAGACGCCGGCGGGTCTGGAGGAGACGAGCTGCGAGATGTTTGACAGCGGAACAGCTCGATGGCCAGTCTCTGCACACAGAAGAACCAGGAACATCAACTGAAACGTGACCAAGAGCACGTTTCAACGGGACTTAGACAAGCGCCTCGGGTCTAGAGCACAGACTGTACGTGATGGACGGACGTGGAACGAGCGCTCGCCTCCAAATGAAGCTCATCATAGCAACCAAAGAGCCAATCAGGAGCGAGGCTGTTGAAGGTAACGCCCCGTCCCGCCTCTACGCCCTTAGAAAGGAGCGGGCACTTAGCAACTCTGTCAATCAAACCTGTTACTAACCCTAGAGGGCGGGGCCTCAGGGAAAGAAGGCGCCTGATTGGTCTGAAATAGAACTTTTCCACAATGTTTGAAGTGTCGCTGTGGAACTTCCGTGTCAGTCCCCGTGTCAGTCCCCGTGTCAGTGTCCGTCCCCGTGTCCGTCCCCGTGTCCGTCCCCATGTCCGTCCCCATGTCCGTCCCCATGTCCGTGTCCGTCCCCATGTCCGTGTCAGTCCCCGTGTCCGTGTCCGTGTCGCAGATGGACGTCGTGGACTCGGGCACTGACCTCCTTCAGGTTGTTGATCTGCTGGATGTATCCGCTCTGGGCAGACTCCAGCTGGCTGATGTACCAGTACTGGTCCCTGCACTTTTGGAAGAAGGTGGGCGAGCGAACCTGGTACCTGCAGCACAACACCCCGAAAAACAGACACAGAGAGTTTGGATCAGAAGTAAAAACATCTACAACCTACAACAAAACCTGCACATTTAACATGAGATAAAGAGAATACAGAAGTGCTCCACTGTGTTTTTAAACTCCACACACCTTCACTAGAATCATCTGGATCATTTCAGTCCTGGAGTTGCTAAGAAAAATGTAAAAGTAAATCGCTTCATGAAATCACGAGGTGGAACAGAGCGTCTGGAGCTTTGGAGACGTGGACAGACTCAGAATAAAGAGTTACTCAAACAAACACAAGTCCAGGGTTCGTGTACGTTCATTCTTTTTTTATTTTAATTAAAAAGGGAAAAAAAACATCAAATGTGAATTTTTCTGTTTCAGCGTCAAACAAAAAAACAGATTTCGACCTTTTAAAAATAATTAAAGTTCCAATATTTAAAGTTTATTAAATTAAATACTGGAAATCGAGGTCAAAATCAGCTTTTTGTTTGACACTAAAACAGAAAAATGAAATAAACTATTTTCCCATTTTATTGTTTTTCGTTCTTAATTAAATTCAAAAGAACCAATGGAACCTTCCAGGTGTTTGCGACAAGGAACATTTACAGAAAGTCTGACCCACCGTAGCACCAGTGTGTCCGTCTGCATGTTGAGGTAGCCCTCGCTGGCCAGAAGGTCCAGTCTGAAGAAGCGGTTGTAGCCCCAGCACTCCCCGACCTCGAAGTCTGAGGCGAACTCTCGGATGATGTTCTTGGTGGGGTCATTGGAGGCCTGGTGCACCATCTCCACACGGTACTCATACCTGAAGACATCAGGAGAAACCAGAACTCGTGTCATCCTGGTTCTCCGGGGGGTTTTAGGTTCATGCTGTTTAATTAAAGCTGCAGATGTCTTTGCTCTGCCTGGAATGTTCCAGAGTATGACATTAGTACACAGTAACAGCGTTCATCTGTGGGAGCTGCAGTCGCACCGACAACCTGCGGCTCAGTGGATCTGACGCTCGACCAGTGATGTTTATGTGGAGAGGGAATCGAACCAGCAACCTTCAGATCAGAGACAACCATTCGACCGACTGAGACACTGTCGCCCTTTTTATCGAACAGTTCTGCCCCTGCTCCTGTCCCTGCCTCGTCTCTGCTCCCTTCTCTGCCCCTGCCTCTGCCCCTGTCTCTGCTCCTGTCTCTGTTCCTGCCCCTGTCTCTGCTCCTGTCTCTGCCCCTGTCTCTGCTCCTGTCTCTGCCCCTGTCTCTGCCCTGTCTCTGCCCCTGTCTCTGCTTCTGCCTCCGCTGCAGATTTGACCATAGACACACATGTAGGTACGTACTTGGAGGTTTCTGGGAGTCCGGCCGAAAGCTCCAGGAAGACGGAGAGGTAGTTCCCCCTCACCACGCCGTTCCCGTCCTGTCGAGACCAAGAGCGTCACTTTCACTTTTATTTTACACATACAGAAAAAACTCGGGCCACAATGTAAAATCTAAACATTTAAATCTGTCACAAAATGATTCAAAAGTCGTGAAATGATCTGTCCGTACAGCGAGATCATTTCACTGGAAAAGTTCTCTGAAAATAAACGACGTCTAGACGAGAATGAAGCGTCTCAGAATGAGTGAGAAGAAAATCTGAAAACAACATGAATAACCTGATTTAAGTTTTAAAATCTTGGCCAGACGGAAACAACACGGAAACAACAATTCATTACATTATTATTTCCATGTGAATATTTTTAATCCAGAACTATTTAACTCAGCACAATTAATTCGTAATTAAAAACTTGACGTAAACGTGGCCAGTGTGTTCACTCGCTCGTACGTCTGCGCCGATGTAAACAAACATGAAGTGCAGAACATGCAAACCTGACCAAATCATGTCATTTTGAGCTTTCTTGAATTAAAAATCTGAAAAAATAAAATAACATAAATTTGATAGTACCAGTACAGCGCCAACTTCCAAATCCACACCAGATCTGTGTGGAGAGAGTCGGTGCGTCTGTGAACGGCACCGGGACATGGTTTGAGCTTCAGCTACAGACTTACAGGATAAACTTTGAGCCTCCAGCAGAGTCCGGAGATCTGCAGAGGGGGGCTGTACACCGGGTCGGCCCTCTGCCTCAGGGTGCTGCAAACATGACAACATGATCAGGGAAGGTCAGACCCTAAACCCTAAAGAACCCTCAATCTTCACGAATCCTCAAGAACCCTCACGAACCCTCACGAACCCTGAACCCTCACGAACCCTGAACCCTCACGAACCCTCACGAACCCTCAAGAATCCTCAAGAATCCTCACGAACCCTGAACCTTCAAGAACCCTCAACCCTCACGAACCCTGAACCCTCACGAACCCTCACGAACCCTCAAGAACCCTGAACCCTAACGAACCCTGAACCCTCACGAACCCTGAACCCTCACGAACCCTCAAGAACCCTCACGAACCCTGAACCTTCAACGAAAACCCTCACGAACCCTGAACCCTCACAAACCCTGAACCCTCACGAACCCTGAACCCTCACGAACCCTCACCCTGAACCCTGAACCCTCAAGAACCCTGAACCCTCACGAACCTTGAACCCTCACGGACCCTGATCCCTCATAAACCCTAAATTGGTGTAAGTTTAGGGAGAGACCATAACCCTCTTTCCCAATGTCTGAAGTGTCCCGTTGTAGGTTTGAGGAACTTCTGGTTAATGGTTTTCTGTGTAAATGTGTGTGTAAATGTGTAAATGTGTGTGTAAATGTGTGTGTAAATGTGTAAATGTCTACTGAACAAAACTAACGTTATGGTCCTCGACATGTGTCACATTTAAAATGCACAAATCTCTGTGTCTGTGTAAATCTCCACATCATCAAATCCATTTTTAATCTGAACTGTAGAATCAGTCTGAGTGATTTCAGACTCACCTGAAGTTCACCAGGACAAAGGTGCTGGAGTCATAGGCAGGAACCAGCTCACTGAAAAACACACGAGACACACACAAAAGTTACACAACCTTTGTATAATACTCATAATCAAAGCCTGAGATGTCTTTATAATGTCAATATTATTATTATTATTATTATTATTATTATTATTATTATTATTATTATTATTATTAGGCCTGAGCGCCAGAGGCTGGCGAAGGGCCTATTAGTATCGCAAAGCGATGCTCCAAGTGGCGAAAAATGGAATGGCGCGATTTGACTCGCCCGTAGTGACCAGGGACCCTCGCCATGACGTGGCAATGCACCTGAGGTTTCCGAAAATGTATAGTTTGTCGGCCAAAAAAAAGCAGAACATTGTTCCCGTATCAGAATATTCTTTTTTTTTTTCCTAACCAACTCACCCATTTTTCACCCACTGAAGAATAATAAAAAGTCCTGGAAATTTTGCCATCTGGTAAAACTCGCGCTTTTTGATTTGATGATGCATGTACTACTGTACTACACGCAGTAGTACACGCAGTAGTAGAGGTACTACTACACGCAGTAGTAGAGGTACTACTACACGCAGTAGTACACAAAGTAGTACACGCAGTAGTACTTGGTACACAGACCTGGTGAAGTCGGGGGGCACTGGGGTGGTCACAAACGACTGCATGGGTAGTACACGCAGTAGTACACGCAGTAGTAGTACTCGCAGTAGTAGTACTCGCAGTAGTAGTACTTGGTACACAGACCTGGTGAAGTCGGGGGGCACTGGGGTGGTCACAAACGACTGCATGGGTTTACGATGAACCTGCTGGAACATGAGCAGGATCTCTGGACTTTTAGAAATCAGCTCCGACTTACTGCACGAGTGGAGCTGCAACAGACGCACAATATAACACACACAGACGCACAACACACACACAGACGCACAACACACACACACACAGACGCACAACACACACACACACACACACACACACACAGCACAACACACACACACACAGACGCACAACACACACACAGACGCACAACACACACACACAGACGCACAACACACATACACACACACACAGACACACACACACACACACACACAGACGCACACACACACACACACACACACACACACACACACAGACGCACAACACACACACAGACACAACACACACACACACACACAGACGCACAACACACACACAGACGCACAACACACACACACACACACAGACGCACAACACACACACAGACGCACAACACACACACACACAGACGCACAACACACATACAGACGCACAATACACACACACAGACGCACAATACACATACAGACACACAACACACACACATACACAGACGCACAACACACACACACATACACACACAGAGACGCACAACACACATACAGACACACAACACACACACATACACAGACGCACAACACACACACACATACACACAACACACACACACACACACACAGACGCACAACACACACACACACACACACACACACACACAACACACACACACACACACACATACACAGACGCACAACACACAACACACACAACACACACACACACACACACACACACACACAGACACACACACACACACACACACACAACAGACACACACACAGGTTAAAGGAGCACAATATACATGGCATTTAAAGATGCACTGTGTAACATTTCTAAAGGAGAGTCCGCCACCTGCTCGTCTCCATGGAAACGTTATTGCTTTGTTGAGAATGTTCCATAATACAGATTAAACCGCAGGACGGTACGTTACAGGTCAGATCTGTGGAGAGGCGCCCGATTCACTGAAGGAACAGAAACATCAGCGACGAATCAACTCTGGATAAAGTGTTTCAAGTGTTTAATGTCACACCACGGAACATTCCAGGCAACGCAAGAGCATCTCCATGGAGACGAGCAGGTGGAGGACCCGCCTGCCCGGTGCACCTGAGGGGGTGGTGGACCTGAGGGGGTGGTGGACCTGAGCGGTGGTGGACCTGGGGGTGGTGGACCTGAGGGGGGTGGTGGTGGCGGGTGGTGGACCTGAGGGGGTGGTGGACCTGAGGGGGTGATGGACCTGAGGGGTGGTGGACCTGAGCGGGTGGTGGACCTGAGGGGTGGTGGACCTGAGGGGGTGGTGGACCTGAGGGTGGTGGACCTGAGGGGGTGGACCTGAGGGGTGGTGGACCTGAGAGGGGATGATGGACCTGAGGGGGTGGTGGACCTGAGGGGATGGTGGACCTGAGGGGGTGGTGGACCTGAGGGGTGGTGGACCTGAGCGGGTGGTGGACCTGAGGGGGTGGTGGACCTGAGGGGGTGGTGGACCTGAGGGGATGGTGGACCTGAGGGGGTGGTGGACCTGAGGGGGGGGGTGGTGGACCCTCCTCCTCACCTGGTGCTCCACCTCCTGCAGCAGAGACTCCAGCAGCTCCGTCTCCTGAGTCAGAGACGTTTTCTGACCTGGACACAGAAAAACTCTTCAAACTCTGATTTACATGTGTGTGTACGTGAGGAGGAAGAGGAGGAAGAAGAGAGGAGGAGGAGGAAGAGGAGGAAGAAGAGGAAGAGGAGGAGGAAGAGGAAGAGAGGAGGAGGAGAGAGGAGGAGGAGGAAGAGGAGGAGGAAGAGGAGGAGGTTTGTGAGAACATGCAGGAGGTGCAGGAGGAGGTCTGACCCATGAGTGTGATGAGTTTGTTCTTCAGCTGGTTGTCCAGACGAGCGATCATCATCTCCACAGCGTTGCGGATTTCTCTGACCCTCTCGTCCTTGGCGCCTCTCACCGCCTCCACGTTCCTCTCCTGCCCACAGGAGGACACAGGTCACATGACGAAGAGGAGCAGAGAGGAAGAGGAGCAGAGAGGAGGAGGAGCAGAGAGGAGGAGGAGCAGAGAGGAGAGGAGCAGAGAGGAGCAGAGAGGAGGAGGAGCAGAGAGGAGGAGGAGGAGCAGAGAGGAGGAGGAGGAGCAGAGAGGAGGAGGAGGAGCAGAGAGGAGGAGGAGGAGCAGAGAGGAAGAGGAGCAGAGAGGAGGAGGAGGAGCAGAGAGGAGGAGGAGCAGAGAGGAGGAGGAGCATGTTCCTCTGCTGCCCACAGGAGGACACAGGTCACATGATCACAGCCCAAAAGAGGAGGAGCAGAGGAGGGATATTTTGACTGACAGCTGAAAATGGAGGATGGAAAAGAGGAGGAGTAAAGAGAAGAGGAGGTGAACCTTCTGAGGAGATCCTCACCACTTCCTGCACCAGACTGATGAGCTCCAGCAGGCGGCGCCGCAGCTTCGACACTTCCTCCTTCACTTTGGTCACGTGCTGCTCGTAGATCTCCACCAGCGGCTTGAAGGTGTGACCCCCGTGCTGCAACGACAGGAGCAATGACAGGAGCAACGACAGGAGCAACGACAGGAGCAACGACAGGAGCGGGGACAGGAGCAGGGACAGGAGCAACGACAGGAGCAACGACAGGAGCAACGACGGGAGCAGGGACAGGAGCAACGACGGGAGCAACAACAGGAGCAACGAACAGGTGCAGGGACAGGAGCAGGGAGCAGGGACAGGTGCAGGGCAGGGACAGGGTGCAGGGGACAGGTGGCAGGGATAGGTGCAGGGACAGGAGCAACGACAGGAGCAAGGACAGGAGCAGGGACAGGAGCAGGGACAGGTGCAGGGACAGGAGCAGGTGCAGGGACAGGAGCAGGGTGCAGGGACAGGTGCAGGGACAGGAGCAGGGACAGGAGCAACAACAGGAGCAGGGACAGGAGCAGGGACAGGTGCAGGGTGCAGGACAGGAGCAGGGACAGGAGCAGGGACAGGGCAGGAGGGGACAGGGCAGGGACAGGAGCAGGGACAGGAGCAGGGACAGGAGCAGGGACAGGTGCAGGGACAGGCAGGGACAGGTGCAGGGACAGGAGGGACAGGAGTGCAGGGACAGGTGCAGGGACAGGCAGGAGCAGGGCAGGGAGCAACAGGACAGGAGCAGGGACAGGTGCAGGGACAGGAGGGACAGGAGCAGGGCAGGAGCAGGGCAGGGCAGGGACAGGAGCAGGGACAGGAGCAGGGACAGGAGCAGGGACAGGTGCAGGGACAGGTGCAGGGACAGGGACAGGTGCAGGACAGGAGCAGGGACAGGTGCAGGGACAGGAGCAGGGACAGGAGCAGGGACAGGTGCAGGGACAGGTGCAACAGGTGCATCATGTAAACATGACCCTTGTGTTTGTTGTTTCGTGAATTCTGGATTATATTTAAAATATAAAATTTCATAAATCGTCACGGTGACAAAACCCGAGCGGGCAAACACTTCCCGTTTATGAACGACCACCCCGCCGTGGTCCCTACCGACCACCCCCCCTCGGTCCTCCCCCCTGTGGTCCACCCCGCTGAGGTACTCACCATGCCGCCCCACAGCGCACACTGGTGGCAGATGCACTTCTTGCAGGTCCAGCAGTAAACGCTGAGCTTCTCATGATGATTCTCACACCTGCAGAGAGCAGAGTCAGGTCTGTGGAGAGAGGGGCCGCTTTGCCCGCTCTATGGTACCCACTTGTCTTGGTCATGTGTTTCAGGGTACTCACTTGTCTCGATCGTGTGTTTCAGGGTACTCACTTGTCTCGGTCCTGTATTTTAGGGTACTCACTTGTCTCGGTCCTGTATTTTAGGGTACTCACTTGTCTCGGTCCTGTATTTTGGGGTACTCACTTGTCTCGGTCCTGTATTTTAGGGTACTCACTTGTCTCGGTCCTGTATTTTGGGGTACTCGTCTCGGTCCTGTATTTTGGGGTACTCACTTGTCTTTGTCCTGTATTTTGGGGTACTCACTTGTCTCGGTCCTGTATTTTAGGGTACTCACTTGTCTCGGTCCTGTATTTTAGGGTACTCACTTGTCTCGGCCCTGTATTTTGGGGTACTCACTTGTCTCGGTCCTGTATTTTGGGGTACTCATCTCGGTCCTGTATTTTAGGGTACTCGTCTCGGTCCTGTATTTTGGAGTACTCACTTGTCTCGGTCGTGTGTTTTGGGGTACTCACTTGTCTCGGTCGTGTGTTTCGGGGTACTCACTTGTCTCTGTCGTATATTTTGTCTCGGTCGTGTGTTTCGGGGTACTCACTTGTCTCTGTCGTGTATTTTGTCTCGGTCGTGTGTTTCGGGGTACTCACTTGTCTCTGTCGTGTATTTTGTCTCGGTCGTGTGTTTCGGGGTACTCACTTGTCTCAGTCGTGTATTTTGTCTCGGTCGTGTGTTTCAGGGTACTCACTTGTCTCGATCGTGTGTTTTGGGGTACTCACTTGTCTCGATCGTGTGTTTCGGGGTACTCACTTGTCTCGGTCGTGTATTTTGTCTCGGTCATGTGTTTCGGGGTACTCACTTGTCTCGGTCGTGTGTTTCGGGGTACTCACTTGTCTCGATCGTGTGTTTTGGGGTACTCACTTGTCTCGATCGTGTGTTTTGGGGTACTCACTTGTCTCGGTCGTTGTCCTCGTGTTTGCTCAGGCTGCACAGTTGGAGAGTGTCCAGTTGTTGTGTCACTTCTTCAGCCCAACGGCAATTTACCAACTCCCTCAACTGAAGAGGAGCCCTGTACACACAACACACACACACACACACACACACACACACACACACACACACAGACACACAACACACACACACACACACACACAGACACAACACACACACACACACACACACACAGACACACAACACACACACACACACACACACACAACACACACACACACACACACACACACACACACACAGACACAACACACACACAGACACAACACACACACACACACACACACACACACACACACACACACACACACACACAGACACACACACACACACACACACACACACACACACAGACACACACAACACACACACACACACACACAGACACAACACACACACACACACAGACACACACACACACACACACAGACACAACACACACACACAACCCACACAACCCACACACACAACACAGACACACACACACAACACACACACACAGGGTTAGGGGTTACCTCACTGTGGTAGTGTTGGACCATGATTGTCTCTGTGGGGGGGGTTACCTGCAGTGGGGACACTGGGCCCTCTGCTCCGTGAGCCAACGCTGAGGAAACAAACTTCACTGTGAAATACAGAAGCACCAGGAACATCTACAGGGACGGTCAGGGTGGGAGCGGAGGTGCTGGGTGCGGTGGTGGTGGTGGGTGCGGTTGTGGTTGCGGTGGTGGGTGCGGTTGTGGTGGTGGGTGCGGTTGTGGTTGCGGTTGTGGGTGCAGTTGTGGGTGCGGTTGTGGGTGTGGTTGTGGGAGCGGTTGTGGTTGCGGTTGTGGGTGCAGTTGTGGGTGCGGTTGTGGGTGTGGTTGTGGGAGCGGTTGTGGTTGTGGGTGCAGTTGTGCGTGCGGTTGTGGGTGCGGTTGTGGGTGCGGTTGTGGGTGCGGTTGTGGGTGCAGTTGTGGGTGCGGTTGTGGTGCAGTTGTGGTTGCGGTTGTGGGTGGCGTTGTGGGTGCAGTTGTGGGTGTGGTTGTGGAGCGTTGTGGGTGCGGTTGTGGGTGCAGTTGTGGGTGCGGTTGTGGGTTGTGGTTGCGGTTGTGGGTGGTGGGTGCAGTTGTGGGTGTGGTTGTGGGTGCGGTTGTGGGTTGTGGGTGCAGTTGTGGGTGCGGTTGTGGGTGCAGTTGTGGTTGCGGTTGTGGGTGCAGTTGTGGGTGCGTTGTGGGTGTGGTTGTGGGTGCGGTTGTGGGTGCGGTTGTGGGTGCAGGTTGTGGGTTGCGGTTGTGGGTGCAGTTGTGGGTGCAGTTGTGGTGCGTTGTGGTGCAGTGTGGGTGTGGTGGTTGTGGGAGCGGTTGTGGTTGTGGGTGCGGTTGTGGGTGCGGTTGTGGGTGCGGTTGTGGGTGTGGGTGCGGTTGTGGTACCCGGATGCAGCTGAAGCAGCAGAGTTTGGAGCAGTGTGGACAGAGACGAGCGTCCCTCAGCTTCTCCATGCAGATGAAACAGCGAAACACCTCAGCGATGCTCTGGAGAACACACAACAGGGTTACCACGGCGACCCTCCGACGGTCACTACGGTCACACTCCGACGGTCACTACTCCCGCACTCCGACGGTCACTACGCCCGCACTCCGACGGTCACTACTCCCGCACTCCGACGGTCAGTTTGGATCCAGAAGGTTCTGGAACTGGACCATGGAGGTGAAAAACCTCCAACCACAGACGCTCTCGTGTCCCTCGTGTCTCTCGGACGCAGAAGACGTTTCCTCTCAAATTCTTGAAGGATTCACAACAAACTACAGAACTTGTTTTAGCTGAAATAAGATCATTTGGAGCTTCGATTTTTGATTCAGTAAAAATCTGCTCTGTTTCTGTTTCTGTTTTTATGAGAGGTCACGTTTGTTTTTGACACACGGAGCATGTTTCTCTCTGATTGACAGGAGGATTAACCAATCACGATCCACTCGTCCGTGAGGTCCGAGCGCGAGGATCAGGTGATCGTGATAAAACATTCTGAAGTCTGATATTTAGAGACAATAAATGATCATATAGAGACAAACTCGAGGCACTGACGCAAAAACACGAAGGTTCTCCCAAAATCATCGAAATGTTCAACAGTGTGAAAAAAAAAACATTTAAATAAAGGACAAAATGAAACACTTGGGGATTAGTCTGTATCTGCATTTTCATTCTAATTTTTTACTAATTTACTAATAATTTTTTGTATTTTTATCTTCTAGTTTTCGTCGTTTTTCTTCATCCTTGTTCTTGTGTATTCATGAAATCTAAGGACTAAAGTAGATCTAAACCAGAACTAAAGCAGGACTAAAGCCGGACTCCCGGGGACTCTCACCTCGACACTTTGTTCGTCCATCTTCACCGCTCTGAGTGTCTCCAGCCGAGAGATGAGCTTCTGTCTGAAACACAAACAGAACACAGTCAGGACCAAGGCCAGGACCGGGACCAGGACCGGGACCAACGCACCTGGGGCTTTGTTTCCCTGTTGGTGGTCAGGACCTCCTTAGGGCGACCAAATTTTCAAAATAAAAACGGTTTGTAAAAATAAAATTGTCATATTTTCTTTGTGTTTTGTAATTTTTTTATCAGATTTTCTGTATTTTACCAAAACAAATGTCAGTTTGTGTCTTTACTGTTCAGGATCAGTTTGGTCCAAAACAGAGACTCTGGGACATTTCTGTACAAACTGGGACAACGGACCCTCCAGAACCACGGACCCACCAGAACCACGGACCCACCAGAACCACGGACCCTCCAGAACCACGGACCCACGGACCCACCAGAACCACGGACCCACCAGAACCACGGACCCCAGAACCACGGACCACCATGGACCCTCCAGAACCACGGACCCTCCAGAACCCTCCAGGACCCACCACGGACCCTCCAGAACCACGGACCACCTCCAGAACCCACGGACCCTCCAGAACCACGGACCCACCACGGACCCTGGACCCTCCAGAACCACGGACCCACCAGAACCACGGACCCTCCAGAACCACGGACCCACCAGAACCACGGACCCACCAGAACCATGGACCCACCATGGACCCTCCAGAACCACGGACCCACCATGGACCTCCAGAACCACGGACCCTCCAGAACCACGGAACCACCAGAACCACGGACCCACCAGAACCACGGACCCCCACCATGGACCCCCACCAGAACCACGGACCCTCCAGAACCACGGACCCTCCAGAACCACGGACCCACCAGAACCACGGACCCACCATGGACCCTCCAGAACCAAGGACCCACCATGGACCCTCCAGAACCACGGACCCTCCAGAACCACGGACCCACCACCATGGACCCTCCAGAACCACGGACCCACCAGAACCCTCCAGAACCACGGACCCTCCAGAACCACGGACCCACCATGGACCCTCCAGAACCACGGACCCACCAGAACCACAGACCCACCAGAACCACAGACCTCCAGAACCACGGACCCACCACCAGAACCACGGACCCTCCAGAACCACGGACCCACCAGAACCACAGACCCTCCAGAACCACGGACCCTCCAGAACCACGGACCCACCATGGACCCTCCAGAACCACAGACCCACCAGAACCATGGACCCACCAGAACCACGGACCCACCAGAACCACGGACCCTCCAGAACCACGGACCCACCAGAACCACGGACCCTCCAGAACCACGGACCCACCAGACCCCCACCACGGACCCTCCAGAACCACGGACCCTCCAGAACCACGGACCCACCAGGAACCCTCCAGAACCACGGACCCACCAGAACCCGGACCCTCCAGAACCACGGACCCACCATGGACCCTCCAGAACCACGGACCCTCCAGAACCACGGACCCAGAACCACGGACCCTCCAGAACCACGGACCCTCCAGAACCACGGACCCACCAGAACCACGGACCTCCAGAACCACGGACCCACCAGAACCACGGACCCACCCACCAGAACCATGGACCCACCATGGACCCTCCAGAACCACGGACCCACCATGGACCCTCCAGAACCACGGACCCACCAGAACCACGGACCCACCAGAACCACGGACCCACCAGAACCACGGACCCACCATGGACCCACCAGAACCACGGACCCTCCAGAACCACGGACCCTCCAGAACCACGGACCCACCAGAACCACGGACCCACCATGGACCCTCCAGAACCAAGGACCCACCATGGACCCTCCAGAACCACGGACCCACCATGGACCCTCCAGAACCACGGACCCACCAGAACCACGGACCCTCCAGAACCACGGACCCACCAGAACCACAGACCCACCAGAACCACAGACCTTCCAGAACCACGGACCCACCAGAACCACGGACCCTCCAGAACCACGGACCCACCATGGACCCTCCAGAACCACGGACCACCAGAACCACGGACCCACCAGAACCACAGACCCTCCAGAACCACGGACCCACCAGAACCACGGACCCTCCAGAACCACGGACCCACCATGGACCCTCCAGAACCACGGACCCACCAGAACCACGGACCCACCAGAACCACAGACCCTCCAGAACCACGGACCCACCAGAACCACGGACCCTCCAGAACCACGGACCCACCATGGACCCTCCAGAACCACGGACCCACCAGAACCACGGACCCCCAGAACCACGGACCCACCAGAACCACGGACCCTCCAGAACCACGGACCCACCAGAACCACGGACCCACCAGAACCACGGACCCTCCAGAACCACGGACCCACCATGGACCCTCCAGAACCACGGACCCACCAGAACCACGGACCCTCCAGAACCACGGACCCACCATGGACCCTCCAGAACCACGGACCCACCATGGACCCTCCAGAACCACGGACCCACCACGGACCCTCCAGAACCACGGACTCACCATGGACCCTCCAGAACCACGGACCCACCATGGACCCTCCAGAACCACGGACCCACCAGGAACCACGG